TTAAGCAGAAAGGCATCAAACTAGAGCTTGAAAAGGTTAAAAGCCATGCTGATAACAAATAGAACAACAAAGCAGATCAACTGGCAAAAGAAGGCAGAAATTCATACATGATCCTAAACCTTGACAAAGTCAAAAGTGAAAACTTTAGCTATGATATAGCATGGAAATTAAACAGAATTGAGTGCTCAGTTAAGCAGTTTGTCACTAAGCTAACAAAAAGCATCAATGATGCAGAATAGATATATTAAAAAAGAGACAAGCAAAATGAAAGCCTAGAGTATAACTGGAAAAGGCTATGGCAAAGAATTAAAAAACAAAGAGAAATAAATTGCCTTTTAATAAAAGACAGTAGACGTCTTATTTTACAGATTAAATGCTTAGTAAATTGCCTTTCAACACTTAGCGAACTCAGGAAACAAAAACCAGATCTATACAAAAGTGACTTTTGCATTCTCTGCAAAAAAGAAACTCCTGAAGACTTCGGCCATCTGCTTAGATACTCAGCTCTACAAGACTCTTGAAAACAAATAGAGAAAGTAGTAATAGAAGGCATTAATAAGCTCTTAGTAGAGGAAAATGATAGCCTGGCTATGATATCAAAAATCAAGGAAATTTTCTTTTTAAAAAACAAAGAAAGTCAATACTAAAGAAGAAAAGAGCTCGTAATCAGCTTGGAAGCAAAGAAAATAGCTGAAGATCTAAAGCTGCTAGCATAAAAAAAAAGCGTTACAAGAACCTGGCTTGACAGTATCTTCTTTATAACTCAAAGAAGCTTTTCAGAAATCATATAGAATTGGTGATGTGAGAAAGTAATTCTTTGGGAAAAGAAAGAAGAGATCATAGCTAAGTCAAAAAAGAACAAAATGAAGGAAATAAAGCCAAAAGCGAGAACTTTAGCAAATAAAGAAAGGAAAAGACTACTAGCAGAAAAGAGAAAAGAAAGAGGAAGGAAAAAGGAATGGATAATAGCTTTAGTAGAAGACGTATTTAAAAAGGAAATTAAGGAGAGTGGTTCAAGTTAGTAGAGCTTTCTTTGAATTAGTTAGACTAATTGTTTTAGTCATCTGACTAGTATAACAGATCATACCTGAACACTCTAGAAGCTGTCAGGTGAGGTTAAACTTAGAAATTAGGTAGATTTTTTTTAATCAAATATAACTTGGCTACGGCTCTAGTTAACAACTTAATAAAGTTTATAACGTGACTGTCAAAGGAAAAAAAATAAAAAATAAAAAAGTTTATTAATATTTATTAAAATATTTTTATATAAATTTAAAAAATATTAAATTTTAGTAAAATATAAAATTGGTGGTTACTAATTTATTATTATATTTATTAATTTAGAGATACTTGGTATACATTCGAATCATTTTCATCTGTTATAATATTGTTAGCTAAAGTTAAAGAAGTATTTACTCATAGTCTAGTATGACATTATCACTATATTAATCATTTGCATTTTTGTAATATAATAAATTTAAAAAAAATACAGATTCCTACTAAAACAAGATAGAATTTTTGGTTTGAAATAGTTTTGTATACTAAAGACTATCTCATTTATTAGCAAGAATTTTTTCAAAATGAAAGTGAACTTGATGAAACAGATGCTTTAAAAATTATTTGTTCTATTCTTTCAGATCAATATAAATTAGGTCTAATTAAAATTTATATTAATTTTATTAGTAATTTTTCTAAAGAATTTATATCTACTTTAAATTTTTTTCAACAAGAAAAACCTATAATTCGTTATGTTGAAGGTAGACTTTAACATCTTACTAATTATATTGAATCAAATATAAAAACTATATATTTTGGTTTTCAAATAAATGAAATTATTATTAGTAATGGGTTTCAACTATCTGAATTTTATCTAATTTTTCAAAATGCTTTTTCTGTAGCATATTTAAAATTTGTAATTTATATTCTTTCACATCCTAGAAGATCACTTTTTTATGCTTGTCAAATTTTTAATCTAAGATTTATTCATACAGGTGAAGTTAGTCAAAGAAATTTATGGCAATATGAAATTATTTCTGAATTAAGTAATCCATCTGATGATCTATTAAATGAATAGACAATTTATTGCAATTTAGAAGATGATTTAGATGTTGAAGAAATTAATTTAAATGAATATTGGTTAAAAATTAATAAGCATTTACCACTTTTATCACAAATTGCTCTTGATTATATATGGGGTATCATAAGTTAAAAGAGCCTATTTTTATATTTGTCTCATTTTGAGATAATAGAGTTTAATTATTTGTTTTTATTTTCGGACTGATCCGGATTAATTTAATTTCATGATTTTGATTGGTTAAATGTAACAGGTGACTATCGGACAATCTCGTGATGTGTTAGCCTTTGGAAGACTCGTGAAATATTTCTTTTATATTATCTTGATTTTTTATTATACAAATCGACTTTCATTTATAATTGAAAAATGTTAATCATGTCAAAATTTATATGAATCTAATAAAAACTCATTTTTCGAAAAATGTAAAAATGGGCTCTTTTAACTTACAACACCCCATATGGTTACCAATTTCCTCATGTAGTGTAGAGCGAAGTTTTTCAAAATACAATTTAATTCTAGATAATAATCGTCAAAAGTTATTAGAAAATTCATTACAAAATTTAAATATGCTATATTTTAATGGTAAAATTAGTGATTAAATATTATATATTTTTTTTTCAATTTTTATTTTATAATAACGCAAAATGTATATCTTTTTTGATAATTATCATTCATCGCCAGTGCGATGCATCGCTAGTCATATGACTGACCAATTAGTGAAAATCAAAACAATAAAAAAACAACGACGCATTAAGTTTAGGGTTAGGGCCAAGGGTTAGAGTTAGCGATGTGCATTAGCGAAGACGTTCCTAACCCAAAATTTTGCAAGGAATTTTTTTTGTTAGAACGCAGAAAGTAGTTTCATAAGCAAAATTTCTAGTTACGAGCGATTTCTTGAAAAAATCGTGATTTTCACGTTACACCTGATCTTAAATTCTGATTGGTCGGTCATAGACTAGCGATGCATCGCACTGGCGATAAATGATAACTCTCATATTTTTTATATAAATAGCGCAGAGTTATTAAATTTTTATCGCAGAAAATATGCAGAAAAAACAAATTCTAATGCACCGAAAGGTGCAGAAAAAGCAAATTTGAATGCAGAATTCAGACTTATTGCAGACGGAATTGGCTACTTATTGCCGCAGAAAATCATCGTCCCTGCCCCCGATCTGCGTGACAAATCGTGTTACTAATATCATTGGAATAGGTTCCAAACCGAATTCTTAAATGTAAAAATTTGGGACTACGTATTCTACCTAATCCCAAACTAGTCCCATGCCTGTTAACGTTAACAGTTAACGATAAATCTTTCCCTTTTTTGGGGTTGCATCACCTGAGAAATAGTATAAAAAAAAAAAAATAAAAAAAAAAACCTAAAAATAAAAATGACAAGCTTTTCAGGCATTATTAAAACTCTTGTCCTTAAGCCTGATGAATTTACTCCGGATCACGCGCGAGTCGCGTTAGAGAAGATTATGAAACGAGAAGCGACTTCAGCTCAAGTTGCTGCTTTCTTGGTAGCCTTGAAGTTAAACAATAAGGAATATGATCCAGAAATAATTGCAGCCTGTTCTGAATCATTGCTTAAATTTGCTTTGGAAATAGACTTCTCAATGTTTGATGGTTTACAGGATTCTCTCATTGATGTGGTTGGAACTGGTGGCGACGGAATGAATACTTTTAATGTGTCAACCACTGCAGCAATAGTCATTGCTGGTGCTGGGTGCAAAGTAGCTAAAGTATGAAATAATAACCCAACCTTTTGTGGATTTTTTAATTCGTCTCAAAGACTCATTAATGTATAACAATGAAATAGTTTGGTAACAAAGCTGCTTCATCACAATGTGGATCTGCTGACATTCTCGAAAAAGTCGGATGCGAAATCACGAATATTGCGCCTTCAAAAGTTCCAATTATAATTAACTCTACAAATTTTTGTTTTCTTTATGCGCAAAAATTTCATCCTGCTGTAAAGAATGTGGCAGAGACACGACTTGAGATTGGTATACCAACTATATTCAATTTATTAGGGCCTTTAAGTAATCCGGCGAGGCCTAAGCGAGTTGTAATAGGAGTACATTCCAAGTTTTTAGGAAAATTAGTAGCAGATGCATTGGCATTAAAAGGAGTTAAAGAAGCCATGGTAGTTCACGGAGCTATTGGATTAGATGAAGTGAGTTTTATTATTTTTAAATAGTTTATGGTTCTTTCTTATGACTATGACTAATATTGTTTCCTATCGTTACAAAGATTAGTCCAGAAGGCCAGACTTTTGTAAGTTTATTCAAAAAATATATATTATATATTGTTTTTTAATCTATTAAGATATTCTATTTAGATTTGGCATCTTTCAAATTCCGATATAAAAGAATACATTGTAACCCCATCCGACTTTGGGTTACCCAGTCATCCAATAAGCGCAGTTAAGGGAGGTAGTCCAAGTGAGAATGCAGAACTTTTAATTCGGCTGCTCTCTAATAAATATGAGGGTCCGATTTTAGATTTTGTACTTTTAAATTCTTCAGCTGCATTGGTTGTTTCTGGACTAGCCAAGGATTTCAAAGATGGTGTAAGATTAGCACGTGAAAGTATTTCAAATGGTAGAGCTAAAAATGCGTTTGAAGGATTCAAGAGACAAACAAATAATAAGGACTAATTTGTTTCAAATATATGTAAATTAAATTCAGTCGTACAACTTGCTCTCGGTTTACCATCTCGTAGTATGCAATTTGTTGATCTAATGTAAGATGAAATTATCAGTTGAATATTGTAAATAGTATGTATTTACAGATTCAAAAAGTTAATGCCCTTGGGCTTATAGTCTATAAGATAAAAAATATATATACATTATAAAATAAAATAAAAATTTTTTTGCGAATCATGTTTTGCTCTTCATCAATTAAAACATTCGATCAATTGTACAATTTTACAATCTAATGAAATTGAAAAGAATTAGATTTTCAATGATTATTTATATAGAAAAGTCATTTCTATACTTACGCAGTACCACGTTCAAAGTTTTCTTTGATTTCTCGAGTGTATTTATCATAAAATCTACCAATTTTCTCGTTGAATCTTCTGTTACGCTCGTTAATATAAGTAATATCATCATCTTCATTAGCTGTCTTTTGCCGTGAAAATTTCTCACGTTTAGCCATTCTAAAAAAAAAGATTATTAAGTTATAAAATGAAAAAAAATACAAGACATGTCGAATACTCAATGCTTGTGACACCTACTGTTTGTTAAGATCTTCTACCATTCGATCGACAGCTTCGCGACTAGGTGTGTCATCTACACTAGCATATTGTAAAGAATTGGCATCTCTATAAAATCTAGACTCTGCATCAATTGGAACAACTTCTCCATCCGCTGTGGTAACAATGCTCGCTGATTCCATAGCAGCTGTCTTTTTTTCATTATATGCATTCACATCAGGAGTAAAATCATTTATCATTCTTTTGTACTTTTTACGTGCAACTTGATTATAATCTTATAATGAGAATGGCCAAAATAAGAAAATAATGAATATAACGATGAGACGATACTAATAAAAAATACAAATAAATAATTAAATTGAATCTACCAGTAAATGCAACATCGGATCTTTTCAATTTCTTTTCTTGCTTTTTTTCCCATTTCTCTACTGACTCTGCAGAATACTCCCAGAATCTTTTTCGTTCATAATCTTCATTATTTTCTTCTGCTTCCTAAAACATAAATATCAATTATTATGTAATTTGAATTTTCAACATATCAATATTATCAATGTGTTTATACTTGTCGAGCTAATAACTTTTCTGCTTCTTCTCGTTTACGCTCTTGTCTAATCTTTTCTTTTGGATTAAATTTTTTACGTTGATGTTCTTCGTAAAGCTCTAGCCGATTCGCCCGTTCAGAATCATCCTGATATTGAAACGAAACACTTTTTTTAACGATCTCATTTTGTCACTATTCAAAAAATAGTATTTAAATATACCATTCGTTTCCGCAGTTTTTTCAACTGTTCTAATCGGGCCTCCATTTAAATCAGATATTTGTCGACTTTTTTTTTTAATGCAATGTTTTATTCAATTAAGCATAAAAATACCCACATGACGATCGAGCATATCAATATTAGTGTAACGTAACGATAAGGATAGATCAAATATTGTTATACCCTTATCGTTATACTTTATCAAATCTACTTTATCAAATCCACTTATCATGTCAGATTCTGCACCAGAAGGTGGCAAAAAGAAAGTGACCACTTTTAAGTCACTGGTAAAATAGCAACTTTTATAATTACGTTTTGAAATAAAGAGCTGGACTTAGGAATATTTATATAGGGTATTATAGAACCATTATGTCAAGCATGTGAGCAGCTCAAGTACAAAACCCCGACAGAAATCCAAACTGAAGCCATTCCATGGGCATTAGAAGGTAAAATAAAATCAAAACTACTTAATTTTGTTGGATGTATTTATTTTGTTAAATTTATTGTTTTTTTTGTCAAGGCCGAGACATAATTGGTTTAGCACAGACTGGCTCAGGCAAAACCGCTGCTTTCGCTTTACCCATTCTTCAAGCGTTATGGGAAGCACCACAAGGGCTATTTTCTTGCGTTCTAGCTCCAACGAGGTATGGCTAAATCATACTTTGAAAGGATAATTACGTTTAAGATCAACCATTGTTAAAATTACTCATTTAACAACAAAGAGAATTAGCTTACCAGATATCCGAAGCATTTGAATCTTTGGGCTCTATAATTGGTGTTCGATGTGTTGTTATAATTGGTGGGATGGATATGATGTCACAAGCAATTGCTCTTTCCAAAAAAACCTCATATAATTATAGCCACTCCTGGGAGATTACAAGATCATTTGGAAAATACCAAAGGATTTAGTTTGAGAAACTTGAAGTATTTGGTAATTACCCCTTATCATTTAGCTTATGGGTATAATCAGTGTTTAAAATTCGATGATTCTCAGTGTTCTTTAAAATTATGTTCCTTTATTTGAAAACATTTAATAAATTTTTTTGTTATGAAAAAAAAATCCAACTTTCATATACATAGAATATTAAAGGCTCAAAAACATGCATTTTTGAGAACATAAAATCAAATTAGAATTTTAAACACGGGGTATAATTAATATAAGAGACTAATGGTTATATTTATTTGATCAGGTTATGGACGAAGCGGATAAATTGTTAGATATGGATTTTGGACCTGTCATTGATAAGATTTTAAAAATTATCCCTAAAGAACGTCATACTTATCTCTTTTCTGCTACGATGACCACTAAGGTAGCAAAATTACAGCGCGCTTCTCTAAATAATCCGGTCAAGATCGAAGTTTCTTCAAAGTAAATATTTAATATTTTGCTCTAAATTGTACCCCTTGAATTGATTGATTTAATTCATTGTTTTTCTAAAACCAGATATTCAACAGTATCGACTTTACTGCAATATTATCTATTTTTTCCTCTTAAACACAAAGATTGCTACTTTGTATACCTATGTAACGAGCTTGCTGGAAACTCTTTAATAATATTCACCAGAACATGCAATGACACACAACGTCTTGCACTATTATTAAGGAACCTTGGGTTTCCTGCGATCCCCTTACATGGGCAATTATCGCAATCTAAAAGGTTAGGCTCTTTAAATAAATTTAAAGCTGGAAATAGAAATATACTAGTGGCTACTGACGTTGCTAGCAGGTTACAACATTTAATTTTCTCATAACGCTGTTCTATTTACTTTTTTTTTGATAATAATTATTTTTGACGAATTTCATAGAGGTCTGGATATACCGCTTGTGGATGTAGTAATTAATTATGACATCCCATTAAATAGCAAAGATTATATCCATAGAGTAGGACGAACAGCTCGCGCAGGAAGATCCGGTAAATCTATCACATTGGTTACACAATATGACGTAGAATTCTATCAACGTATTGAACAAGTAATCGGAAAGCAAATGGAACTATTTCCAATTGGTAGCAAAGAAGATGTTTTGTTGCTTCAAGAGCGTGTTTCTGAAGCACAGCGAATTGCTACTTTAGAAATGAAGGAAGAACAACAACAAAGAAAGGGAAGCAAAAGAGTTAAAAGTGAAGGAAATGATCATGACTATAAGGACAGGGAAGATAGAGACCTTATCGTATCTAGTAAATTGAGTAAAAAAGCAAAAAGAGTTAGAAGATGAGTGATATAAACTTTAAAAACTTTGTACACAGTAGTACAACAAATAATAAATTAATCAATCACGTAGTTAAGTCTATATTAAAAAGAAATATGCTAAAATTTTTTAAAATTTTATTAATAAAACTTCTATTATTTATTAATTATTGTATAATTTTTAAAAAAAATTTTTTAAAATAAAATAATATTTATAAATTTGAATTTTAATATAAAATTTCAAAAGTAATTTAATTAGCTTAATAAAAAAATTTTTTTTTTTTTTGATATTAGGCCACACAAAGTTAATTTCTTGGTTTACATAACCCGGCCGGGTCAAAATTTATAGATCTTTGAAAAAAAATTTCATATGTAATTTATTATAAAATCTCCGGGTCAGTTTTTTTAAAAAAATTTCATATGTTTTTATATTTTTCTCTAAAAAAAATCATATGAAATTTTTTATAATTTAAAATAAAAAGCCGGGCTGCCGGGTCACTTTTAAAATTTTATGTTATGAAAACCAAGAAATTAACTTTGTGTGGCCTAACTACTATTTTTCTTATAATATTACTGAACTTATATACCTGAATACATACTATCAAAATAGGTATTTAACTTCTATAATTTTTATAATCTATTACTGAAATTATATATCTAAAGTAATTTACTAATTAAAAAATAGGTAGCCAACTTCATTTTTCTTATAATATATTACTGAAGTTAGCTACTATGATCACATATCTGAAAGTATACCAATAAAATAGGTAGCTATCTCCTATAATTATTATAATATATTACTAAAGATAGCTACTCTGATAACATACTCAAAATACATATACTAGAGTAGTGTGTTCTTCCATTTTATATATAATATATTTCCGAAGATTATACTACTCGAACACATACCAAAAACATACCTGAAATACATATTCTAGAGTGGTATGTTTTTCTATTTCTCTACATAGTAAAGTTTCTGAAGATTATACTATAAAGTTTTCTTTATTTTTATCATATTCATTTATATTCTTGCTAAGAATATTCAATATATATTTTTTTGCTATTACTTATCACTAACTGAAAAAAATAATTTAAACTTTCAAAAATTTATTAGGATAATATATCTTTAATAACTAATAACTTTATACCCAAAGATCTCAAAACAATAAGAAAAAATAAAAATATTACAAATAAGTAAAGAAAATAACAAATTAAATAACTAAATAACTGAAACTTCGTATACAAACATAATATCCTACTAGTTACCCCTACTACAAACAAGATTAAGAGGAACTATAACAAAACCCTTACAACACCTTTGCTCTTCGACAACTTGTTGTTGATAAT